CCCCAAAACCCCAAAACCCCAAAACCCCAAAACCCCATAATACTATTTAAGTTGATTTTAGTAAAAATAAAATTAAGAATTGAACTCACTTTAAATTTAATTTATATTTTAGATTTTATAATATCATTAAAATTGATTGCTTTTTTCCCCTTACAATAAATTCTGAAGCTAAGCAACATGATAAGTGTAAATTTGTCTTTGCTGTGTTCTATACTCGAAGGCTAATCTTTTTCTGCTGTTCTCTAAATTTTCTGTTAAATCTTCAGTTTCATCGAGAGATTTTCCAAAGTCAAAAACATACTATTATTTTATCAAATCTATAGCTATCTGGTAGACTAAACTATTTGAGCATGTTACCAGTCCGCAATCTTATAATATTTACTTGCAAGAACCTAAAAATTTATCATTTTTATTATTTCTATGTAATATAATATTCTTTTCGTAACCCTTAATCCTTATTTTAATGGAGATACAGTCACTTTAATTGTTTTTTATTATAAATCCATAGTTAATTAGATGAGATTTGTTAGTCACATGACCGTAATTGTATGGAATTTACTCCCCTTCCTCTAAATCATACATGCTAACCATTTGAAAGAACGTACCCTCTGGTGGGATTATTGAAAATGAAGTTTCCTCAACAGTTTCTATCTCAATTTCACTAATAATTTTATCTAATTCCTCTTGTGCAGGAGGAAAGTAATGTCCGTTAATTGATTCAAAACCAGGAATGCTATAACAATTAGGAATACCAATAGTATTTTAAGTTAAGATTCTGCCCTCTGAATCTACTAGCTAATGAAAGGAATATCTACCATGAGTATGATTCATTGACTCAATAAAGGGAGTCATTGTATGATATTTAAGATAAAACTCATACCAAACATATCTAGTCAAAACGTATTGCCATGATATTAAATATTATTGAAAGAAATTCTCTTTAGTCTGATCTCCTGAACAAAATTTATCTACGCAGCCAGTTTCCAGGAGTTTATTATAAATTTCTTCAGCATCCTTTAAAATCTATGTTCTCATTTGCTTTATCAGAAGGATAGCATGCTTATCTTAGATGAATTCTATTTCATTATCATTCCATAGAAATGGTAGATCAGCTGGATTAGATACTTAAATGGTATAATAAAGTTAAGATTGTGACCCAAGTAGATTTTAGTGCATAAAATACAATGACAATGTAAAATCTTGATGGAAATCTAAAGCATTGATTGTTTAACCTATGCCTGGACTATTTCTAATTGTTTCACTATCGATTCTAGAATTACACGGTGTTCTTAATATCCATTCTCCTGCTTTTATTTTTTTGCGAGCACCAACACCAATTAAAAATCCAGTGGGACCGTAAGCGCAAGGGAAGCTTACTTTTTCCAAATTCATTCCTTATTCATCACACCATTTTCTAAATAACTCATACTTAGAGTCTTTCTTAAGTTCTTATGTTGCCTCCTTATCAATAAATTGAAATGGATCTGATTGCATTTTATATATTAATGATAATTCAAGTAAGTTTTACAAAATATCATAAATAAAGTTTAGAACTAACGAATTATATGAGAAAAAGCAAATACAAAAAGAAAAAGGTATATGAGAATGCATGTATTAATTAATTTAAGACTAAGATTTCACTATGGAAAAAAGTGTAGTACAGGTATATAAAACATTTAATAGTTCCATTAAAAAAAATGAAATTCTAGTAAATGAAACATACATACATACATTTATTTTATATATCTCAGTTTGATAACTAATAATCAGATATAGGGGTTTTGGGGTTTTGGGGTTTTGGGGTTTTGGGG